GATACATTTATATTTGGCATATGTAGAATCACTCAGATTGCCTAATAGACTTAACACTAGGACCGCCATGCTTTAAACATACCTTGCACCGCCCCCCTGCGGTCAGTTGACCGCTATGTATTTTGCGCTGATACAGCCTTATGCCTAATTGATTGTTTACTAAACCAGAACTTGATGTTGCTAGGAAATCGTCATAAAATTGATACCGTGTAAAGTATTTGTCTAAATATGCTAAGTAATTGTTATTCAAGCCGAAATAAAAGGCTAAGACGACACATTGTGCGTGTACTGCTTCAACAAAATTACGATAACATTTCAGGCTACATTTATTTTGTAACTTGAATAACCTAAAATGTCGGTCACTTTATGTTAGATTTGACTCAGTACCAATATGTAAATTCAAACAATATAAATTATAGTTCCGAAAAGCACGGGACTATAATGTCTTCGCGCTGCCATGCATCTACTTCTTACGTCATCTCCAGACTGTTTTCTCTTTCCAGCCGAAATCACCGTGGGAAATATAATAGATAATAATAATAGAATTCGTATTGACACAAGATCATCATCTATGGCTACCATCGTCAATGTAAAATCTCCAGACACGATAGAAAGAAATATATATATTTATTTGAGACAAGCAGTGCTCTATAGGATCAGAACAAAATAATAATCATTGCCTAACATTTATTTCTGTTTGACTACTATTATTAATATCATTGGCATCATTTTCAAAATACACATAGCTAACAAAATATAGGCTTACTAATTAGGCCATTACGAGGATAAAGCGCCATTGACAGATGTTGAAAGTTTAGCTCACCTCTGAGAACATTCAGGAATTCAACAGTAGCTTAAAATGAAACAAAAAATAGGTTATTTTACGAGAAAATTGCATCAAAATAAAGCTTTAGTAAGCTAATAGCCTAATGAACCAGACCATTGCAGGCTAAATAAATAAATAACCAGTGTGCGCTGTGCAGAATAACCCACAGTGTTAGCTGTGTTATCGTCCTTATTTCATCCCTCTCCTCCTGCAGGTGTCCGCGGGTGACGATAGGCCTCACAACGCCCCATACGCGCTCCTGCCTTTATTGTTCATCTAATTGTTCTATTTCGATATTGTATTCTGCTTTATTGCCTTCTTGTATGTATACATATAAGAATGTAATTGATGATGAATTAAAAGGCAGAATGGAGCGACAGCGCGCACACAGACACCTGCGTATGGCTGGCATTACGCGTGCTCACTACAACACACTGCTGCCCGTGCCGTGAATGCACTTTGGGTCAACGTTCAGATATAGAATATATGTTATTATTGTTATAAATAAATGATGAACTACTCTTTGTCTGACCCGTCACCTCGGACCTTTTGGCCATGGGAGACCCTACCAGGAGCATAAAGCTCCAGACAACAGAGCTCCTAGTTCACCTTGGAGAGACCCATGAGGGAAAATGCAGTTAGAAGTTTAGGATTAAGCATGTTTGGCGCCCTAGGCCCGGGAGAGAGGCTGTTGAGCGCGGCGCTTGATCGCGCGCATAATCCCCCCCGGGGTCTAGGCACTGGTGACGGCAGAGGCTGTAGGCAAGCACGCATCGATGAGAGAAGGAGGAGGTGGGGCGGCGGAGGCTTGCAGACTTCAGAAGGCCGGGAAGTGGGCATCTCCGGCTTTTAACTTGCTGTCCTGGTGGTTATTGGTTGATTAGATGTGGGCGTTGCTGGTATGATGAGTCGAGGATGAGCAGGCTTGTAGGTCTGGGCAAGCAGCAGCCGGGTCTACCACAGTGAACTTTCGCGAAAGCTCCATGATCATTCGGGTGCTCAAACCCCTCCACCACGATAAGGTGGTAGGTCTAGAAGGGGTGATTATAAATATGTACAAGAAGATTTGCGCTGGCAAAAGTGAATCAAACATGCTCGAACTGATTATAAAACAAATTACAGAAAATGTGCGCAACCAAAAGTGGTTATAACGGCGCAGAACTGATTGAAAACAAAACATACAAAATAGAACATTAATATTGATAAAACATAGAGGCTATTTACATTATATACAAAGTGTAACCCCTGTGTCATAAAATAATATGTAAACTAAGTAGAACAAACAAGAAGCTACAAAATCTTAGAATATAGTTATAACACAGTAAGTACTGAGTAATAAACGTGTAATAAGAAAATAATAGTAGAGTTGTATTAGGCTAGTAGTCAGAAGTCTAGATTTGGCTCAAGGAGGGAGTGGCAGGAGACTGAATAAGTTTGGTTGGTACCATGTATTAACAAAGGACAAAATTGACAAACAATACAGTGACACACAAAACATATACCCAAAAATCAGTGAATGGCCATTCAATGGTAACACGTGTTTCGAATCAATATTCATTCAGCACTGCACAAGTACACTGTATAGAAAGTTTTCACAGTATTCACTTCCAAAAGCAACCAGTGATAGAATTCAACAAAACAGTTTCTCAGCTGCGGCACAGTTCATTGATAACCCACTCTGGGTTTGACCAGTTGACCAGAGGGAGGCGGTGCACAAGAGTTTGTGAGATGTGGATGAGTGGATTGCAAAAGTTCCGTGCAAAGTGGGGAAAGAGTTTGTGGGCTGCAAGGAGCCCCCTACCGGCCAGCAGGGGAGATGCGAACATGCGACTCCAGATCCAGTGGGCTCTGTAGGCTCTAGGCCTGGTCCTTCAGCTCGCCATCAGGGTCAAAACCTGGCCTGTAGAACAGGACCAAAGCTGAAATAAATCAAAAGCTAACTAAATAGTTAAGCTCCAGTGTGCACACGATTCTACAATACAGCACAGGTTGTACTATAATCCATCATTATCAACAGGTTAAAAACCATATCAGTACTAGTATATAAATATTCACAGTGTATATAAACATAATGTACTAGCTGTAGTCATTAAACAGTATAAATCAAACATTCAATGAACATTCAATAAGCAGTCAATAAGTTAAACAATGAATGCAATATCATTAAATAACATTCATAAGTAAAAGCAAAGCATTACTGATGGACAGAACAGGCATAAAGGCTGCTTGCATAAAGCACATGTTAACCACTCCACTAATACAACATGGATGTGGCTAGAAATGGCTATGCTAGTGTGAAATAAGCTACACTCACCAATTCCTTGTATTCCTCCTCACAAGCGAGCTGATCACTATTCTTTGGTAAATAGAAGGCTCCTAAAAGAGGCAAGTTTGTAGAATAAACGTCAAACAAAACACAAAGGCATCAAACAGTAAAATGAGCACACTACACACGTGCAGCCACTCCCTACACAGCTTCCCCCACAACACTTCCTGAACCTGCTTTCCTCTAACCCAGGGGTGGCCAAACCTTTTGCTTCCAAGGGCCAAAGTAAAAATTTGCCAGTGGGCCGCGGGCCAAATACACCGATATTATGCATGAAACACAAATAAATGTAGATTTTATCAAGTTCTTTTAAATGCATTAATTATTGTCTATCAGTGCAAATCACAGCTGAATGAATGAAATCAACACAGTCTTAGTGAAGTGGAGGCTCCAGGGAAATATGCAGGTTTGAGGAGACTACAGTACGGAAAGATTCCGGCCGGGTAATCAGGGTCCAGAGGAGGGAGATTTTCTGTCATGGCTTATTTAAAGGTTAAAATCATATAATAAAACCTCAAAAAGAGAACAGAAACATACATTTTGTGTGCACCATGTGCACTTGTATATTGTAAATAGTAACTGTAACTCTATTTTAAATTTAAATTTATTCCTTAGAAGTGTTTTTTATTCTTTATTTTTATTATCTCTGTTGCACTGAGCCAAAGCAATTTCCAAGTCTATTTTCATATATTTATTTTGAACAAAAGTTTTTAACTACATTTGAATCATATTACTTTATCTTAGCTTTTATCAAAAAGGGGAGACATCACTGATCAATAGATCTGGTTTTAGCACACTTTTAAACAATACATTTTAACATTAAGTAATGAATTTGGGAACATAATTGCTAATTGCATTTTCTAAACATGATCAGGTTTTAACTCTGTTTTAACATAGGACAAGTATTCTCAATTAGTAGTGAACTGAATATTAAACTAACAAAATCAGACTAGTTAACCATGATTTGTTCCTGGAGTTTTGTTTTGTTTTGCCTAAACACAGTACAACATTTATAAACAATCAAAACAAAGTAACTGTTAAAGAGTCAGAGTTTCCGCTCCTCCGAAGGGCTCTTGAACGCATCATAAAACTCCGCGTAAGTTCTGTCTGAAATTCAATGATCGCGAGTGAGGACGGCGCTTACCGGCTTCTTTCATGGGGTAGTAGAAGGGTTTGTTTTGCACAGTATTTGTTGCTTCTACTTGCGTGGATCGTGCGCTGCGATCCCTGCTTGTCCTGCTGTTTGTGTCCGTCCTGTTTGTGTCCGTCCTTTTTAACACACCGGGTGGGTGCGGATTGCGCAGGTGAATAGTTCCACTCGCTATTTCCCTCCAGTGAGGAGGGGGAGGTGCAGTTCGGCAGCACAATCCTCTCAATTTGATAAAACATTAAATAGCTCCAAAAAATAATAATAGTAGGCTGAAAAAAAAGAACATAAAGGGGCCTTGCACCCAATTGTTTTGAAAGATGTGTTTGATTTTAAAAAACATTTTAGTGCAAGTTGATGTGAACCATGAGTGAGGAGTGTATCTCGATACAAGACTTAAGTACTGGACAGTCGGAATTCAAAGGGCGACTATGCGCCCGCGCGACCTCAAACATGTCACTGTTTGTTTAGCGAGGCTGAGGGACGCAGATAGAAACTTATAGCGGAGGTGGGCAATGTTTGGCGGGCCAACTGAAATGGTCTGGCGGGCCAACTTTGGGCACCCCTGCTCTAACCAATAAAACCATGCATTGGCTAGAAGGGATCTGATTGGTTAATGGGTGGAGCAAGCAGTAGGCCAAGCAGTGGTATATTCAAAGGGGAAAAACACTAGCAGGATTTGTCACCTGGGTTACAAAAGTCTACACACACTTCAGGCAACGAGGTTCTAATTGGACCACACATTTGCCACATACAGGCCGCTTGCACCCACTGCAGACCACGGTGGTTTTATTCTGCTTGCAGTGGGCATTGATCTGGCACTGCCGTCTCCTCTCTGGCACCTGTGGGTGGGGAACATAGGGAAGCGGGAGAAGCGGTCTCTGCACTGGTGCAGGGGGGGCGGCTTTTGCTAGCATGTGCTCCCTGCGCAGCTCTTTGGCCAGCTCGAGGATGAAGGCGCGCCTCGCAATGTTTGCCCCTGTACACTGCCTGTATAGGACCCAGGCGTTTATTGCAGCCAAATCCAGGATGTTGCAGAAAACTGCCACGGGCCACCTCCTTGTCGCACCTTTTGTTGAATAGAGGCGAGCCATCTGGTCCAGCGAGTCTACACCAACCTGTGACAAGAACACAACGTGATGGGAGGCTGCATGCAGTGCATGCTAAAAAGCAGAATTACCTTTGTGGTATTATAAAAGGTGATGGTCTCAGGCTTCCTCTTCCCCTCTGTGCCTGTAAGGACCATCTGATGGAGAGTACTCAGGATGGAGACAGTCTTCTTCCTCTTTGCCTGGTACAGAGTGAGAGTGGCCCGCTCATGCTTGAGCACCTTGGTGCTGTGCAGGTCTGCGCGCTGTTTCGCTGAAGGTGGGAGTTCTCTGCGCGCAGCATTCATGGTGCCGACGAGGCTGGTGTTTCTCGCCAGCAGGCATTTGGCTCGGGATAATGAGGTGAAAAAATTGTCAGTGGTGACATTCCTGCCTTTGTCCATGAATGGCTCCATGAGGTTCAGCACTACTCTCTCCCCCAAGCGCTGCCCAGCAGGCCGCGCTGCATCTTTCCCAAGATAAGGGATCCCATTGAGAAAATATTTTGAATCCACGTCTGCCGCCATCCAAAATTTTATGCCGAATTTATCGGGTTTATTGGCCATATACTGAGTGAAACGGCAGCGTGCTTTTTGTTGGGTATAGCTGCTCATCCACCGTAACATTATCTCCTGTCCTGTAGCACCGGATAGAGTTGCTGACGAAATCCCTCCACACGTCCGTTATGAGGGCAAACTTATCAGTTGCGAGTCAGGCCTGCCTCTCCTCTCTGCGGTCAAAGCGAAGGAAACGCATTATCTCTCTATATCTCCTGCGAGGCATTGTGCTGCTGAAAAATGGAAGCCCCCACTCATCTGACCACAAGCTCTCCATTTTTGTTGAAGCTTCCCCTGACGTATAAAAGCGTGATGAAAGCTTTGAGCTCAGGGATGGAGAGGTCCCACTGTATCCCAGAGCAACGCGCTTCAGCCACGGTGCAGTCCCGTATGTGCAGGAGGAGCAGGGGGTCCATCAAGCACAGGAAAGCACTCTCTAGGTCGTGGATCCCATGCCTTGCAAATGCAGTAGGGCCTGCAATTCCTCTCAAAATATTATGAGATGGCCTTCTTCCGCGCCCTGTGCCTAGTGCCACAGACAGCCACACGCTCCCGTTTTCCCCATCTCTTCAGGACCTATGCGGCATTGGACCAAATATTAAAATTCGGACAAATAGTCTGACAAATGCAATGGAATTGATTGCAGCTTGCCTTATGCGCTGCGTATTAGGCTACAGGCCTATACCTGATTCTGGAGCAGGTGCTCCTATCCAGACTTGGTCCCCAACGTCCTATCTGCGCACTGGAAGAAAAAATAAACACATTTACAGGCCTGCCATGTGAAAATTATTGGGTAAATCTTGTCTATTTGCGTGTGCCTACCAGCCGTATCCGCTGCCCCTCTGTGCTCACCTCTTGCTGCTGCAGCGCGTCCTGTAAGATAAGATAAGATAAGATAAGACAGTCTATTTATCTCACAAGGAGGAGAAATTTACATGTCACATTTGGCATGGATAGAAACACTCAGATTGTGCAAAAAAGGGAGTAAATGTGCAAACATGTTAAATGCAGGATATATTATGTACAATAAAAAACGGTAAAAGACTATCATGCCTTTTTCATTATACAATAATGTTTGCACAAAATAAGCCCCCAATCACCTGACCAAAAGCTACGTTCTTGTTGAACCTTCCCCTAACATATAAAAGCGCGAAGAAAGCTTTGAGCTCAGGGATGGAGAGGTGAGCGACGCGCTTCAGCCACGGTGCAGTCCCGTATAATATATATATATATATATATATATATATATATCCCTCTCACTCCCAGAGGGAACAATAGCAGACGTTGAGGACAGTTACAAGTATCTCGGTATACCACAGGCAAATGGCAACCTCGAACAGGTGACGAGGAAAGCGGCAACTGCCAAATACCTCCAGCGAGTAAGGCAGGTCCTAAGAAGCCGGCTCAATGGCAAGAACAAGGCCCGGGCAATTAACAGCTACGCCCTGCCAGTGATCAGATACCCTGCAGGAATAATCAGGTGGCCAAAGGAAGAGATTCAGACCACGGATGTTAAAACTCGAAAGCTCCTTACCATGCATGGCGGGTTCCATCCCAAATCCAGCACCCTGAGACTGTACGTAAGCCGTAAAGAAGGAGGCCGAGGACTAGTGAGTGTGAGAGCCACTGTCCAGGACGAAACATCCAAACTCCATAACTACATCATGGAGAAGGCCAAAACGGATGACGTACTCAGTGAATGTCTCAGGCAGTGGCGAGATGAGGAGGTGCTGGAGGAGAGCCCATCATGGGAGAACAAGCCCCTACACGGCATGTACCACCGGAGCATAACAGAAGTGGCTGATCTCAAGAAGTCCTACCAATGGCTAGAAAGGGCTGGCCTACAGGACAGCACAGAGGCACTCATCATGGCTGCACAGGAACAGGCCCTGAGCACCAGAGCGATAGAGGCCCAGATATACCACACCAGACAAGACCCAAGGTGTCGGTTGTGCAAAGAGGCACCTGAGACGATCCAACACATAACTGCAGGGTGCAAGATGCTGGCAGGGAAGGCCTACATGGAACGCCATAACCAAGTGGCTGGCATAGTGTACAGAAACATCTGTGCAGAGTATGGGCTGGAAACCCCAAGGTTTAAGTGGGAAACTCCTCCAAAGGTGGTGGAGAATGAGCGTGCGAAGATCCTGTGGGACTTCCAGATACAGACCGACCGAATGGTAATGGCAAACCAACCTGACATCGTGGTGGTAGACAAAGGGCAGAGGACAGCCGTGGTGGTGGACGTGGCAATTCCAAGCGATGGTAACATCCGGAAAAAAGAACATGAAAAGCTTGAGAAATACCAAGGTCTCAGAGAGGAGCTGGAGAGGGCCTGGAGGGTAAAGGTGACAGTAGTGCCCGTGGTGATCGGTGCACTCGGGGCAGTGACCCCGAAGCTAGATGAGTGGTTACAGCGGATCCCCGGAACAACCTCGGACATCTCGGTCCAGAAATGTGCAGTGCTAGGAACAGCAAAGATACTGCGCAGAACCCTCAAGCTCCCTGGCCTCTGGTAGAGGACCTGAGCTTAGAGAGGGATAACCGCCCGCGGAGGGCCAAAGGTGAGTGGACAATTATTTTTTATATATATATATATACTACACAAAATATAGGCTACAATACATTGAATCAGCGGGTATATGCCTACTAACCTATTCTTTAGAATATACTCTATTCAAGCCGCGCTGCTAGCATGCTGATTTGGAAAACAACAGCAAGGACATTTCTTGGTTATTCCTTAGCCAATCAAACACACACATATTTGGCAAATGTCCTAAAAAAGGGTCTAAATTGGAGAATAGAACAAATAATATATATTTACCTGCCGTCAAGGCGATGCCTGAAGGAGGCGTCAACCTTCTCTTTGCGGGAGGAGGGAGCGCTGTGTTGGGCTCTGAGTCGGTGTTCTCCCCGCTGTCACTCTCCACCTCAAAATCAGACATCTCACCTCCGTCAGACAGTTCTTCATCAATGTCTTGAAGCATTGCTAGGGCTTCATCTACCGTGTACTTGGCAGCTCTTTTCATTTTTGATCCTCTCAATTCAAAAGTATTGATAAAACGGCTTCTTCTTCCTCTCTTTCTCTCTCCCAAAAAAAAAGAAAACTCAATCCCCTTTATAGTCTAATGACAACATATTGATACATTTTTATAAGGCGCGAAAAACCCCCGGGAAATGGTTACTATGACAATAGTCGCCCCTGCGCCATGTATCTCCATGGGGTAGCAGGAAGGGCTGTGGTTTACAAATGTTAAAATGCGTGTAAATCTTGTTTTCTTTATTTTTTCCAAAACCAAAACACATCAAAACATAACCAACAAGTACCTAATAAAAGTCATAAAATTTCAACTTATGGCGTTTTGTTTTGAATACACTAATTAGCATATTAAAGTGACTGACGGTCAGTTGACCGCTAGGGGCGCTCCTAGTGTTAAGTGTGCAACATATTAAGGTAAAATATTATATTATATTATATTAAGGTATGTACAATAAAAAAAAGAGTGACAATAGCAGTGCAGATTTTTTTCAGTCCTTGTGCATGATGCAGTTGCTGAAAAAAATATCCTGTTAATCCATGGAACGTTCAATTTAATCTACAAAGCGCTGTTACGAGGACAGGCCAGAGCAGGGGTTGGACCCATGTGTGACCTTTTAGTATAGGCTTCAAAAATATTATTTCCCCTGCAGCACATCCTGTAGAGGCCCCACGTGACCACTCTGGTATGTGATGTTTTGTGTTTTAAGTTTAACTTTCTTTTTGTTGCGTTGATGAAATTGTTGAATCTTTAGGCTATATTTCTCTTTTTAGCTTTGGGATCCATCAGTATTTTTTCAGATCCCAAGCTCTAAAATTGACCGTCATCACTGTGTGTGGACAGAATGGAAAAATAATAATATTAATAAATTATTCTAAAGCGCTTTGGGTAATCTTGGTCTGTAAAAAGCTCTATACTGTAAATAAACATTACTTACTTACTATATATGTAAGCAACACAATTTACTATGACTCTTTCAAATATTGCACTAAAATGTTTTCCTTGTATTTCTTTTCAAAATGGAATATATTTTGGGTTAATTTTAGCTCAACACTGAGACTATAGAGGTTTTTCACCGTCACATGACCTACATAGCAACCGTTACTAAGCCGCCGTGTTAGATGGCAGTGTATTGAACACTGCGACCGAGAGCACCCTTTAGGGAAAGTTTTGCTGCATTCCAATTGTGGAAAACGCTCAGAATGAAGAAGTATGGTAACTCTCCTCCTTCCTACTTTACCTGTTTAGCATTATTAGGATTTTGACTGTAGTTTGTTCATTGCTATTCACCCGTTGTCCCATTGTCTGTTTCATGGTACGATGACGGGATCTCTGAGCCTGGCCTCCTCCATCTACACCTGCGGACTGCCCCGCCTGACCCGCCTGGGAGTGCTTCAGTTCTGCACCGGACCTGTCCACGTTCAGCGGCCACTGGTCCACCTCCTGTAGCTAGCTTACAGTGCCTTGCGAAAGTATTCGACCCCCTTGAACCTTTCAACATTTCGCCACATTTCAGGCTTCAAACATAAAGATATAAAAATGAATTTTTTTGTCAAGAATCAACAACAAGTGGGACACAATCGTGAAGTGGAACGAAATTTATTGGATAATTTAAACTTTTAAAAAAAAACTGAAAAGTGGGGCGTGCTGTTGGAATATTAACTCTTGCACCAGTTAAAACTAAAAACAGTTTAGTATTGTTTCTATTGCCAAATTAGCACTTGTTTGTGTAAATCTCAAAGAGCAGTGAGTTCAAGGTTAGTCTGTGTGAGAATGGGAGGGGGACAAGAGAAAAACAACTGTGGTTATCAGAGCAGGTGCAGGCTTTGGCAGCTGGCCAGAAGAAGTCATAGAGTCCACGAATCTGTGATGTCAGTGACCTTGGGTGTACAGTATAAAAGATGTACAGGAGGAGGCACGGGGACTTTTTGC